GAGTGTTTGGAGGTAAACTCACAGTTCAAGATGACATCACGGGGGCGTAACAGCTGCAGATCCTCCAGCAGGTCGATCAGCTCTCCGACTCGAATGTTCCTGTTCGAGCATTTGACCATCACCCAGTGGGTCCGCCTTTCCTGCCTTTCAGCCAATCGCACGTCGTTCTGATCCATCAGCATCCCAGAGGCTGTGAGACAGAAACAGTACAATCAAAAACTGCAGAAATATAAAGTAAACTGATTTTACAGACACTCAGACTTCAGAGGACAAACACTAGCTCGCTATAAACAATCACAGATATAAAATACAAGATAAGATAACTCACTAATAACAATAAGATAATTTTTTGACACTTTAGCTGTCCTCTGTGATCTTTCAGGCCTTCTGGTGTTGGCAGTACAGCCATTCTGTTATGCCGATTGCTGTCTCTCTAACAGCTTTATTTGTGTTTGTCAGCCTAATAATGAAAGAAAGCTAGCGCTAGAAAGCTAGCGCAGTTCTTTTTTAAAAGCGCTCGAATTAAAGCTGAAAGTCTGCACCAGAATCACATCCTGATGATTGTTTCAAAATTTCACCGTGGTAGTGTACAGAGGCGAGAACACAAAAATACAGAAAAAAATTACTCCAAATACTTATGGAACCTCACATACTGTATGTTGAGCCATGTGATCTTATTCAGCGTGCAACATTTGCACTTTTTTTTTTTTTTTAACATCTTTATCTGTTGGTTAACACTTGTGACTCGTGCTTCATCTGCAGTGTTGCATTATAGTTCGTCTGAAAGATTTCAAGGACATAATCAACGCATGTGCTGTCCGCCACAAACCACAACTCCATCACCTGATGTGGGTGGGATACACAACAACTGGGCCCGATGCTTTTCAGTTCGGAAAAAAAAATGACCAGAGTTTACCACGAGGAGGAAGAAGTGCAAAAAACCCAACATAGACCAAAGGAGCAAACAGGAAAAGCATGGGCGATGGCAATTTATTGTTCTAACAACTGGTTTCATTTCATTTCAAAGAAGTGCTTGTTCTGCTTGTTCTGCCTCCCCTTGCCCTCAATCACTAACAGTGTCTGTCTGTGCAGAGTCCATTTTCCCCTCCAGCTCCTTTTTGTTAC